TAGGTGCCCCCCTTTGTTGTTTGCATGCAGCAGCAGATGAGAGAACAAACCACCCCTCCTGCAACACAGGACGAGGGGCCCCCCGAGGGTACGGGGGGCCCCCCCCTAGATACACAGGGGGGGGGCCCCCCAGCCTTGGGGGGCGGGGAGGAGGGGCCCCCCTCTGCTGCGCAAGAGGGTACTCCTCTTGCTGCAGCTGAACCCTCTTCTGCTACGGGGGGGCCCCCAACAGCAGCAACAGAGGGGCCCCCAGCAGCAGCAACAGAGGGGCCCCCAGCAGCAGCAACAGAGGGGCCCCCAGCAGCAGCAATAGGGGGGCCCCCAGCAGCAGCAACAGTGGAGCCTCCAGCAGCAGCAACAGAGGGGCCCACAGCAGCAGCAACAGAGGGGCCCCGAGCAGCAGCAATAGGGGGGCCCCCAGCAGCAGCAACAGTCGAGCCTCCAGCAGCAGCAACAGGGGGGCCCCCAGCAGCAGCAGCAGATGGCGCGTCTTCAGAACCGGGGGGGCCCCCCAGGGGCCCCCCACCTAGGGGAGCCCCCCACATAGAGGGTTTGGGGGCCCCTGCTGCTGCTGCTGCTGCGGAGCCTCATGTTTCAGACGGGGGGCCCCCCAGTGCTACTAGGGGCCCCCTGTTTGTTGTAGAGGGTACTGAACCCTCCTCTGGTGGGGGTGAGGGGCCCCCCTTGCACAGCAACTGGGGGCCCCTCGGGGGGCCCCCCAGAGGGTTGCTGGGGGCCCCCCTTCTTCTCCCCGCAGCCCGCATGCAGCAGATACAACAGACAGGGGGGCCCCCAGAGGAGAGGGGGGCCCCCAGCTCTGTTGCTGGGGGCCCCACCCAGGGGCCCCCAGCAGCAGAAGCCAGTGAAGGTCAGTGCAGCAGCAGCCCACTACTGCAGCAAATGCAGGGGGGCCCCCCTAAGGAGCAGGGGGCCCCCAGGTACCCTGGGGGGCCCCCCATCCTCCCTAGGCGGTATAGCGGCTCGTCGCGGGGCCCCCCCTCTGTTGGGGGCCCCCCCTCTGTTGGGGGGCCCCCCTTCCCCTCGGTACCCTGCGCAGCAGAAATACAACACCCTGATGAGGGGGGCCCCCACCCGGGTGAGGGGTCCCCGCGGGGGCCCCCCCAGGGGCCCCCGCAGGGGCCCCCGCAGGAGCCCCAGCAATCTGATGAGGGGGGCCCCCAGCAGCCTGCTGAGGGGGCCCCCATAGAACCTATGGGGGCCCCCCGCCGTGCTGAGGGGCCCCCAGAGGGGGCCCCTCAACTGTCTGAGGGGCCCCTACAACCTGCTGAGGGGCCCCCCCAGCAACAGGTTGCTGGGGGGTTGGGGGCCCCCCAACAAGCTGGGGGGCCCCCACAATCTGCTGATGGGGCCCCCCAGCAAGGTGAGGGGGCCCCCCTTCACCGCAGTCCTCATCTGCTGTTATCAGGGGCCCTGGGGGCCCCCCATCCTCCTCCTACCCCCTCGGATGCCTCTCACCACCAAACACCAGCAACACAACCAGGGGCCCCTGGAACCCCCGATACCCATGGGGCCCCTGGGGCCCCTGATATTGATGGGGCCCCTGAGGGCCCTGGGGCCCCCTATACCCCCGGGGCCCCTGACACCCCTGGGGCCCCCTGTACCCCTGGAACCCCCGGGGCCCCTGGGGCCCCCGGGGCCCCCTATACCCCTGGGGCCCCCGGGGCCCATGGGGCCCCAGGGGCCTCTGATACTGAAGGGGCCCCTGAGGTTGATGGGGCCCCTGAGGCTTCTGAGGCGGATGGGGCCCCTGGGACCCCATCTTCAGCTGCTGCTGCTGCTGCTGCAGCTGCTGATGGGTTTAATATGAGGACCTTCACATCTCCTGCAGCCCCTACGGAGTTTGGGGGGCCCCCGGGGGGCCCCCAAACCCATCAGGGGGGCCCCCCTGATACTGTGGAGAAACCAGCGGAGGGTACTGCTGCTGCTCGCATCCCCCCCAACAACCAAACCCACACACAAAAGAAAAAAACAATACGGGGGCCCCCCCAGGGGCCCCCACAGGTGCCCCCCCAGGGGCCCCCACAGGTGCCCCCCCAGCGGCCCCCTGAGGAGCCCTCGCAGGGGCCCCCCAAGGGGCCCCCGCCGGGGCCCCCGCAGGGGCCACCACAGGGGCCCCCCGAGGCGTCTGCGCTGGCGGCTGCTGGGGGGCCGCCTTTGGGGGGCCCCCCAGAAGTTTCTGCAGCAGCGCAGCGACGGGGGCCCCCTGAAGGGCCCCATGAGGGGCCCCCGCAGGGGCCCCGAAGGGGGTCTGCTGAGGGGCCCCCCACACGCATGCAGAGCGTGAGGACAAGAGGGAGAGGCAGGGGGCCCCCACCGTATTCAGACGTCAGCGACAGCAGCAGCAGCGATGCTAATGAAGCTCCGGGGGGCCCCCAGGGGCCCCCTGGGGCCCCCAAGGTAGGTGGCGTGAGGGGGGCCCCCGCTACTGTACCCTCGCTTGCAGTTGAGGAAGGGGGGCCCCCAAACCGCAACCAGCAGCAACAGCAGCAGCAAGAGGAACAGCAGAAGGAGGAGCAGCAACTGCAGCAGCAGCAGCAGCAGCAACAGCAGCAGCAGCAGCAGCAGCAGCAGCAGCAGCAAGGCGGCAGCGTGAAGGGGGTCTTAGCCAGCCTTTGGAGTCGCTTCCGCTGGGGCCAGGCTCAACCAGAGCAGCAGCAGCAGCAGCAGCAGCAACAGCAGCAGCAGCAGCAGAAAGAGCAGCAGCAGCAGCAGAAAGTGCAGCAGCAGCAGCAGCAGCAGCAGCGAGAGCCTCACCACCTCCGCCGTCCTCGGCGCGTAAGCGGAGCATTCGGGCAGCTGAAAGGAGACACAAAGCTGCTGCAGCAGCAGCAGCAGCAACAGCAGCAACAGAAGGAGCAGCAGCAGCAGCAGCAGCAGCAAAAGGAGCATCATGGCCACTGGAAGGAACAGGAGCAGCAGACCCAAGAGCAGCAGCAGCATGATGTGCAGCAGCTGCAGCAGCAGCAGCAGCAGCAGCAACAGCATGAGCAAGACCATCAGCAGCAGCTGCTGCAGCAGGAAAAGCAGCAACAGCAGCAGCAACTGCTGCTGCACGAGGGGCAGCAACAGAGGCAGGAGCAGCAGCAGCAGCGGGGAGAGCAGCATCAGCAGCATCAGCAACAGCAGCAACAGCAGCAGCAGCAGCAACAGCAGCAGCAGCGAGTGTTTCACGATAAGATAGCGGGATCGACGGAACATGCAGCAGCAGCAGCTACAGCAGCAGCAGCAGCACCAGCAGCAGCAGCAGCAGCAGCAGCAGCACTTTGCCCCAGTAGTGGCGCCCTAGCGAGGCGGCGAGTCCGAGGCCCCCTTTCGCAGCAGCAGCAGCAGCAGCAGCAGCAGCAGCACGAGGTGCAGCAGCAGCAAGAACTGCAGCAGCAGCATACTCTTGAGCGGCCGGAGATATATGCACCAACAGACAGGCAGCCAGGGCTGCTGCCTGCTGCAGCTGGTTAAGCTTTCTCAAGTCGGAGCCGCAGAAGGGGGAGACAGCAAACTTCATTTTTGTGTCTCCTTCGCATCCAAATAGTAATTCGTTCTGCTGCTGCTGCTGTTGCTGCTGTTGCTGCTGCTGCTGCTGCTGCTGCTGCTGCTGCTGTTGCTGCTGTTGCTGCTGCTGCTGCTGCTGCTGTTTTTGTTGGTGCTGCTGCGGCTTCTGCTGCCTTTTATACTGCTGCCGGTGCCGTTTTGTGTATTTTTCTGGTGCTGCAACACTCTATGCTGCTGCTGCTGCTGTTCGTGTTGCTGCTGCTGTTGCTGCCGCTGTTGTTACTGCTGTTGCTGTTGTTGCTGCTGTTGTTGCTGTTGCTGCTGCTGCTAGCATCCCTGCCGCTTATACGTTTGGTGGGGTTGTTGCTGCTGCTGCCTGTTGCTGTTGCCTCAGTGTCTGCTGCAGCAGTAACTGCTTCTCTATCTGCTGCTGCTCCTGCTGCTGCTGCTGCTGCTGCTGCTGCTGCTGCTCACTGTCTCCGCCCTGGCCTCTTCCGCGTCTCCTTTCGCTCCCAGGAGGATGCAGGTAACCCCACAAATGCTGCTGCTGCTGCTGTTGCTGCTGCTGTTGCTGCTGCTGCTGCTGCTGTTGCCGCTCCTACTGCTGCTGCTGTTGCTGCTGCTGCAGTTTGTGTTGCTGTTGTTGCTGCTGCTAGCGTTTTTTTCTGCTGTTGCTGCTGGTGCTGGTGTTGCTGTTGTTGCTGCTGCTGCTGCTGCTGCTGCTCGTAGTGGTGTTGCTGCTGTCGTCGTTGCTGCTGTTGCTGCTGCTGCAGTTTCTGCTGCTGCAGTTTCTGCTGCTGCTGATTCTGCATGGCAGTTGCAGCTCTGCTGCTGCTCGTGCTGCTCACTGTCTGCTGCTGTTGCTGCTTCTGCCGCTGCTACTATTTCTGCTGCTGCTGCTTCTACTGCATCTTCTGCTGCTGCTGCTGCATCTTCTGCTGCTGCTGGCGCTGCAGTTGGCGGCGCTGCAGCAGAAGGAAGCACTGGAGAGTCTCCTCAGGTGGA